TGGATGGACCGAGACGTTATGTCCCAGATTTGTTCAATTGAATTCAGGTCTGGAGGATGGGCGGGCCAGTCCATTGCATCAAAACCACACACTCCAGAGCCATATCACCCTGTAGTTCAAAACCGGTTACTCACTGAAGCTAAGCAGGGCTGAGCCTGGTCAGTAGCTGGATGGGAGACCACATGGGAAATCTCTTCGGATCTCTGTCTAATGTTAGTCGTCTTTTCTCATATTTATTTTTGTGACCACACTTTATGTACACTGGAAGCTTCTGCAGCCAAAATCAATTCCTTGTGTGTGTAAAGCACACTTGCCAATAAAACCGATTCTGATTCTGATCTAGGTTGCTGTTGGAAGTGGTTTTAGAGAGGCCAGCAGGGGGCGCTCAACCTGTGGTCTGTGTGAGTACTAATGCCCCAGTAAAGTGAATGAGACGCTACAAAGTCAGTTACGTTAAACTGAAGTCCTGACTCTCGGTGGTCACTAAAAATCCGATGGCACTTCTCGTAAACAGTAGGGGTGTAACCCTGGTGTCCTGGACAAATTTCCCTCATCTGCTCTTACCCATCATGGCCTCCCAATCCTCCCCATCTACCGAAGTCACTCTAGAACTCTCTCTACACTCCACCTATAGCTGGTGTATGGTGAGCGAACTGGCGCCGTTGTCCTGTGGCTGCCATCGCATCATCCAAGTGGATGCTGCACAATGGTGGTGGTGTGTAGAGAGCCCCCTCATGATTGTGAAGCTCTTTGGGTGTTTGGCCATACAGCCCATGTATGTTGAAAAACTAAAATGATTTCTATTTGATCCGGCTTATTACCATGATTTGTAACGCTCCCTCTTTTAAGTATGCTTTCCTTTTTGTTTTGTTGCTTTACTTGATTATGCTTTATAACTGTTTATCTATTCTGTACATCAGTGTTTCTCAACCACGTTCCTGGTGGACTGCATGTTTTGCATGTCTCCTTTGTCTGTTAGACCCTTTGCAGGTCTTTCAGTCTCTGCTAATGAGCTGCTGATCTGAATTAAGGTGTATTAGGTAAAGGAGATATGGGAAATGTGCAGAGCTGGTGGTCCTCCAGGAACGTGGTTGAGAAACAATGCTGTACAGCACACTGGCCAGTGTTAGTTGTGCTTTATAAATAAACTGAAATTGAAAACTGATATGCATTTTTAATATTAAAACAAGGATTAGACTGAATCCTTTCTCACCAAGTAATGCATGAAGCCGTCATTCATCCGGACACACTCCTTATACAGCAGACTGTCCTCTTGTAGCTCCGTCAGGAAAACGTGGAACGGCTGCAAGGCCTTTTTATTGGATCCATAGAGGCGTCTGATCTGAGCCGCAAGACGACTGATTTCCTATGAGAAAAAAAGCACCAATAAAATCACTCTCAATGAAAACAAGCACAGTTTTATCAGCAAACAAATACATTTGGTTAATTATTTGTCTAGCACAACTATTCACACCCCTGTGAGAGTATTCGCGACGACAGCTAACATTTTAGCAGAGCTGTTTGAAAAGATAAGCAAGTTGTTCAAGCAATGTGTTAAAAAATCGGTAACGCTTTATAACTACACACTATGAATCATTTACTAAGCATTAGCATCTAGTGAATTCATTATTTGTTAAGCATTAAAGGATCACGAAACACCAAAACACATTTTTTGAGCTGTTGACAGTCGTATATGTGTCCCGCACTGCTAAAAACACTATTAGGACACCTATATTTCACTAAAAAGTGTAAATTGGTTGTTTTTGCGTTATTTCAAGCAAATTCGTACTTCCGGTTTGAAACGAATTTTTGAAGCTGCGTCACGGTCATGACATAATAGCGTTGTATTCCAGCGTGCAGACTGGACGTCTGTGCCAGAGTGTGTTTTATTACGTCTTACAGCCTGCTGCATTAATGCATGAGTAAAGCTTGGTTCAAACCAATCAGCACGCTCTATTGTGCAACTTCATTAATATTCATTAGTGTCACAGTGTTTAGACGACAGAGACGCCACGTTGTGTTGGCAAAACAAGCGTGAAGTGTTGCTTTTATAGTTTGCTGCAGTTAAGTTTTGTTTTTATTTTCTCTCTGTGAGAGCTCAGACTCACGTGTGGATTAACAGTGTACGCGACGCTCGACAACAATAACTTACGTGTCTAAGGAGGATTATTGTTTACCTGAGAGCTGTTCTCATCTGCAAACGCTGAGATCCGGATTCGCTTGTAGTCTCCTCTTAATAAAGACGCGGCTCTAGTTGCTGTTGATTGTCCTGTCTCTACAGATTTGGTAAGTGAGCGACCAGTGCTGTTTATTCAGTTCGTATTTTATTCGTATCGAACAAACTATTGCACCGAGTGTAAACAAGTTAGCTTTACAACCAAACTATAACCTCATGTAGGTGTAACCTCCCCCTAAACAGAGCTGGACACGCCCACTTTTCAGACTTTTTCCAAAGTAGAGGTGTGAAAACACTCTGCTGAAACGAGGGGGTTTCATGGCCCTTTAACTCTACATTAATAAACGTCAGTAAGCAGTTTATAACTGCAGCTAAAAATGCTGTATTCTTGACTTATAAGCACCTAAATAATGTGTTTATTAATTGTATTTTTATACTTAGTTAATGATTTGTATTTCAGTACTAAATTAAGTATTGCATTATTTATAAACCAGTTGTATTTAAGAGTAGTTGAGGGTTTTTAGGATCATTCAGAATGAGTTAGTAAATGATTAATAAACTATTGAAATCAACATTTATATATCTTATTATTCAGGCATATACTAATAGTTAAGTAATATGTTAATAAATGCTTTATTAACTTAACTTTGTGCAGTTTTGTGACGTAGTCTTAAGTGAGGACTATTTTTGTTTTATAAATCCCTTATAAATGACTATAAAAGGCTCAGAATCAAATGAACATTAATCCTTGCAATCTTTTCTAAAAAGTAAAATTACTGTAAAGTTTAAACGTTGCTGAATAACAGGAGTGTCAAGATACGACATGAAACTGGATAAAACAACAACAACAATATAATAATTTAACAATATAATAAGATGTAATGTTTAAACTCTGCAGTGATTTTATTTTACAGTTGCTCATCAGTCGGCACCACTAACCTTTTAGATAGGCCTGTGCAAAAACAAGCCACATTCAGTAAATGACAGAGAAAAAATATAATCTGACGCTGCACAAAAACTAACAATATATCAAAGCCAATGCTGTTACTAATCCTTCTGAAGGATTCGGATTTCTGCTTTCCAATCCGTCTAATCATGGACCAACGTTTATCCTTTTCTCATCATCTTGTTTCTCATATTTTTTTTAATTAAATATAATTATTTGATCATTTGAATGAGTATTTTGAATGAGTTTTTAACTTTGAATTGATTTTAATTAATGAATAAGTTAACACATTGCTTGATATAAGAATGTTCAGTGCATTTGCCTGTCTCTTTATAACTATTTTCAGAAGCCACTAAACTAGGTCAGAGGTCACGGAGTCCTTGAGTGGAACTGAGGGCTGAGGACTGGAATCAACTGTTTCTATTGTTATTTCTAGTAGTTATTACTATCTAAAATATCTAAAGTGATTTTGCTGTTTTAAAGTGATAATACTTTTATTCAAGATAGACTTCGCGACACCCTCCCGCTCTCCCTCGTGAAGCCAATACGGAAGTAACTGAAAATGCAAGTCATCAACTTGCCTTTGGGGAATGGCTCCAGGAACTCCAGATGTTCACCGACTGCAATGCTAAATTGGCCAATTATACAGCTAATAAAGCCAAAATAAATCATGCCCGTCATGACAACTGTGAGAGGGTAAATTTTTATTCACTTACATTAAGTCTGCACAATTAAGAGCGTGGCCACCTGAGTGACAGCGAGGTCTTGCTTGTCGCTGCCACGTTATTCCGGCTGATTAGCTGCTGAACTCAGCAAATACATCGTATTTTTGTTTTGTTTTATGTTTCTTTAAACAGTCAGTTTCCTTTTGGGATTATCTCCAACAATTAGCAAATGATGTGGCATGCTGAGTGCACTTAATTGTGCTCACAAAACATTCATGTGGTCTCCATTTCCCAGGTGAGTGAAGTTATATACTTATATACCATCTCTATAAATGCATTTGTTTTATTTAAGATCATTTATATTTTTCTCTAGACCTGTAATGCACTCCAGAATCTGACAGACTGATTAGCTGTAGGCTCTAGAACAGTCATCTGAAGCGTTGTCATGCAGTGTTATGCCTGGATTTCATCAATAGCCTTGCATTTACTAACACAGACTATATCTAAAGTGTTTGGAAGTAATTCACGTGTTCATTACGTACAAAAACGTCAAAAGAACTATGTTTAGTGGCTCAATGTATTATAACAGTGTTTTTAAAAGACTAAACACTTTATTGATATGGTGTACAGCCAAGCAAATGTGGTCAGAACACAAACGAGATGCAGGTAATGAATTATTAAGCGTTTCTCCCATAGTAAAGTCTGTCTAAGCAGAATGCCAGCATGCGTCTGTAGCCCCGCTCATGCTCCACCTCTTTGCCCTTGTTTGGTATCCCCTGGTCGGTGTGACGACGCGTGAACAAAATGGCGACAGTTGGCCACATCTACTTGTAGCTTCTTTTGCGCTCTTTAGAAACTTATGGGTGTCATCAGAGATACTACGTCCATATCTTTTACAGTCTGTGTTTTTTTTTTACGCTCAAGTCAGTGACATCATGAACTTGCCATGTATTATGCCACCTTTTACAAGATGTAATATAAGACTGTGACGTCTATAGGGTGTGCATGTTAACTTTCAACTCAAAATACTCCACAAATAATGCTTTATAACTCTTTGAAACTGACCATTTTAGACTTTGATCCTAATTGTGGGGTTTTGGTGACTGTCGCTTTAAATTCAGATGAGATTGTGCTCTTTTCAAAAGAGGGCGGAGCTACAGATGCATGTGTGTCAGCATAGCGGCAAATTCAAAAACAAGACTAATGTCCTATG